GGGGAGGCTGAAAACAGGAGATCTCCACGAGTCTGAGCTGCAGAGTGAGACCTTGCAACAGATACATTAATACATTCATATGCATAGTAGGAAATCGTCTTTTATCCTCCATCCAGTTTTGGTGTGTAGAGTCACATCCCTCTTTTCACACACATTTCCCTGCACAGCACACAGATAACAAGGGTGGAACTCGGCCTCACGCTGTTTTCTATAAGGAGTGATCAAAGTATACAGTTGATGTTTAAAAAATGATTACAATGTGTTAATTATTGTAACTGTCCTACTAACCTGTTTTGAAACTTTCATTGCTATTTTATTTTTTTTTTCCTCATTAAACTAAAAAAAATGATTACAGGGAAAGATACAGGACCAGTCCCCCCACTGCCCCCCGCTTTGACACACTCATTCATCACTTTTCTACTTGAAGCAGTTCTGAAGTCCTCTTTCATGAATATCTTTACAAGGTTTGATAAAAAAAAAAGCAATAAATATCCAGGCATGGTGGCACACGCCTGTCATCCCAGCACTCAGGAGGCTGAAGCAGGACAATCACCATGAACTGGGGGCCAGCCTGGGCTACACAGTGAGACCCTGTCTCAGAAAAGCTTGCAGTGAATGCAGAGTGGCATCCAACAGGAAGGCAGGCCAGTAAAAATATCACGCTGTGTGTTCACTCACTTTTTTCATTGGATTTGGTACTTTGGAACTTCTAGGTCTTTTCCAAGTCAAAAATGACCAGGAAAGGTAAATGTTTTTGCATTGGCTCACAACTTTGAGACAGCCATGACAGGGCAAGTAGAGACATTCATTCACAAAACAGGACTTTAGAAAGTGGCAAGAATGACGGGATAAGTATGTTCAGAGTGAGGAGTTCCATTTTGAGGGGGCTTAATGGCAGTGTGTCTTTTGCCGTAACAGATTTTTAAAAATTTAAATCTTTGCCATGCTTCTCAGCCACACCCTAGGGGCTGCTGCTTTGATGGGACAGTGCGCCCCACGGCAGTCACGTCACATCCGTGGGCTCACAGGCACACTGGCAGTCCACAGTGCCACGGCCACTTTATTCTCTAACGACAGACAAGCAAAGCATCCCCGTTAATGTTTCCATAGGAACAACATCTGGGCCCATCGCAGCTTTTCACCCCGGGCCAATAATTACCTTCGAATATATTTTTGAATGTGAGAATTACAGGCCAGTTCACAGACTCTGATCCAAATTGTATGAGCGCTTTGCCGTGTAAATTGGGTGGAGGTGAGATGTTGTTGTTTCATTTGCACTTATTTGATTCCCGGTGAAGTTGAACATCTTTTAAACCCTACACTTATCGGCCACTTGTAGTTCTGCTGAGGCTTGCCTGGCCATGACTTTCCCCTATTTTTCATTTGTGTTGCTTGTCCTTTTCTTACTCCACGTGAGACTAGATTTTAAGAAAACCTCACTGCAGACACCTAAAAACAGATAAACTTTCATAGGTGCAAGGTCTGGAGACAGGAGCTAGCATGTGGAACGGATGCAGTGGTAGACATGGGTGTCTTCTTCGCGTCCCAAGCTGCTATTGCTCTTTTTCCTTAAGTGCCTTTGATCACCGGTGAAGCCATGATGGTTACGCCATTGCCTTCTTTCACCACTAGGCGGCGCTTTTCCTTCCTGTCTCTGTCTGAGGTGTACATTCAATGCCAGATCAGTTGAAGCCGCTGAGGCGCTTTTTGAAACAAAACTGAGTCAGAAACGTCAAGTCCCACCACTCCTTCTAGGCCTGTGATATATTCAGCTAATCCTGTAGCTGAACCTGGAGGGATTTCCTGCGTTCCTCAAGGCTCTGTCCTAGGCCCATCTATAGGCCTGCCTGTTTAGGCTGCTCCTTCTGGATCTGGGCCACAGGTCTGTGGCAGTTTGGGTCTTGGGGACCCGTGTCACCCAGGCCTCTGCCATGAAGAGCAGCCTTACCTGTACCTCAGAACCGTTCTTGCCCTGGGCCTTGGTGCCTTGACTCCAGCCTTGCCTGTTCTTTCTGTCTTGTTTATTTTGCACAGTCATGGATCAGTGGAGGGGTCATGTGTCCAGATCACCCTCCTTAGAGTCCTTCCTTCTGCCTGTGTTTCTCCACGTGGGCTGGGAAGGCCCTGTCTCTCTCTGCCTCCAAGTTCGTACTCTGTGTTAGCTTCCTTCTAAGCATGTATTTCTAGTCTCAAAGGCAGATTTTGACCTTACCGTAGGACAAAGATGACTCATAGACCTCAAACACAGGCACCTCCTGTTCCAGTTCCACTGTGGTCAGGTGTCCCAAGGTGACCTGCAGTGCTAGCATGGTGGAAGGTGTCCACTGATGCAGCCCAAGACCACTGAACAATGCGCAACCCTCTGTAAGCATTTTACGGATGTTTCTTGAATGGAAAAGTGAATTAGGATTTGCTTAAACACCCCATCTACAACCACTTCTAGAATCTTCTGATTACCACCACATACATGGGGGGGGGGAAACCCTCTCCTTAATAAATACAATCACAACAATGCACTTGTCTAAGAGTTGTTCTCTTATTACTGGCAGAATATTTTCACCTTGTTTGAAGTAAAGGAGTTATGTGGACTAAAATATCACAACAAATATATATATTAAGAGTGGCATTTATAAAAGTACATTTGTATATATTAAAAAAAATACATTTGTGGTACCTAAAGCTGAAAGTGATGTTTGGGGAAATGGTGAGTAACTCTTCACAGGTATAGGTTTCCTTTGTGGGTGATGGAATGTCCTAGAATTGAGTATGGTGATGGTCATATACCTAGGAATAAACTGAAAACCTTTGGGTTGCACACTTTAAGTTGGTGAGTTGTATGGGATGTGATAAGTATCTCAATAAAGTTGTCATTGAAAAAGAACACAAGCATTGACATTTTTTTCTACCATCCTTTGAGTGGACAATACAAATTTTAGCCCCTGGCCCCTTTTGATTCTTGTCTTTTGAGACCTGGCCAGGCTGCATAGAAGGTCAGCATGGAAGTGGGCCGGGAGAAGAAGGAATGCTGCCAGTGTAGGAGGCTGTGGTCCAAAGCCGCTGTCCCCCAAGCCAGGAATGATGTGGTTTTGCCAGGTTGGGAGCTGCTACCTAAAGTTTCCTGAGGTTTTCCACAAGCATGGCCCAACTTGCAACAGGCTTTCTACTCTCTGGGTGTAGTCAAATAAATAGCCCACGTACTTCATTATGAGAGTTATGTAAGAAGTGATGTCTTCCAGGAGCTGATGGGAGCAACAACTTACTCAGATACATTTGGAAGAATGAAGGAGTTGGAAATCAAGAGCCTGAAACATGAAAAAGGAAACTGCGGCCTCTGGGACCAATTAGCCTTGGCTCTCAGCAACTTTTCCATCCATTTCTTTTTGCTGCCATGGTGTGTACCTGTGTTAACATTAGCCTGAGGTTAAAAACCAAAAGAATAGGATGTTTGGGGAGGGAAGTGTCTGATGTATTTCAAAGCCTCAAAAGATAATTTGACAATATTCTGATTTGGAAACTTTATATCACAGCTTTTCCCAGTCACCTGTAAAACAGAATAATATCAGTTCCTGCAGGTGTACCTTGATGCTCATTGATTGATTCTGGGAGGCTCAACTCATACCAAAGGCGACGGGTACCAAGAATGGCATCAGCTGGAAGGCAGCACCGATGAGTTCTAGCTTGCACATCGGTACCAAACAGGGTGAACACTGGGGCAACATATTTTGCTGAGAAAATTAAAATAATGCATGGAGTATGCCTGGCTAGGGATTGTATGAAGTGTATAATTCTGATATTGAATATTATTATTTTGTGTGTGTGTGTGTGCGTGCGTGTGTGTGTGTGTGTGTGTGTGTGTGTGTGGTGTTGGATATTGAATTAGGTCTCTTCAGTTAGAGACCTAATTCACATCTACAGCACTTTCTATTATTATTATTATTATTATTATTATTATTATTATTATTATTATCATCATCATTAATTTGAGACAGGGTCTTGATAAGTCACTAAGTTACCCAGGCTCAGCTTAAATTTACGATCCTCCTGCCTTAGCTTCCCAGAGTGCTGGGATCATAGGCATGTGCCACCATCCCTAGCATCTCTTATTAATCACAGGTGAAGTTTTGTGGGTCTAGCAGCTTCTAACCTCGCACCCCATGCATATCAAGGAGTGCTCTGCCTGGGCCTGGCATGCTTGTGAATGGTAGGGGTGGCCCTGGAGCCAGAGGCAGCCTCAGTGGCCCAGGTGGCCCAGGCTGGAGCCTGAATTCTTGCTCTGCTAATTTCCAGAGTGTGACCTGGGGGGAATTTTCTCTTTCCTCTCTAGCCTAGTCCTTGGTTTTCTTGACAGTATACTGGGCTATTCAAATTAGAGGTAATCTGCCTGCCTGCTGGCTCTGCCCCAGGGTGTGCTGAGATGGCATTGAGACCGGTGTGGTGGCGCGCGCCTGTAATGCCAGCTCTCGGGAGGCTGAACACAGATGGATCACTATGAGTCTGATCTACATAGTGAGACCCTGTAGACCTTGTAGACCATGTACTAAATACAGAAAAGAAAAAAAAATTGAATAGAAGTAGCCAGACACAAAGCAATCAGGAAAGAGATAAAAATTTCAATCCTTTTGACTTCTCCTAAAGGGATTGTTTTGGTGGTGTTTCTAAAACTGGAAGACTCCCAGTTACATAGTACTGGTCACTTAAACAAACACACAAGCAAACAAATAAACAAACATCAACCCTGCCAATCCAACAATGGTTTCATGGAAACCCTTTCAGCTGAGCTTCTGGAGAGATGGAGACTTTGCAATGGGAAGGTTGACAACACAGCACATCCCCGAGAATGTAGTCACAGCAGGGTTATTAAGGATTTGCAACGACACATCCTAACCTCTCTGGTGCAAGTCCCAGAAGCCCCCCACACAGCTAGCTCAATGGTGGGGGTGGGATACCACCCTCTCACGTTCACCCTGGTAGCACATGGCAGCACATGGACAGCTACTCACCCATCTCCCAGCTCCTGTGGCCCATGAGCTGTGGTCTGGGGCTGGTGCTGGCCGAGGGTGCCAATAGGGATGATTTTGTCAAGGCGGTATGGGCGGCCTCCGCTTCCAGGTTAGACAAGACCTGCATCAGCATGACCGGCTCTGCAGTTGTCTCTGGAGTAGATGGCTTTTGATAGGCTTTTGTGGTCTCATCTATAAGAAAATGGAATTATGGTTGGCTTGCAAAAGAGCCTGTGCATGGCAGTGCTAGCTGCTGTGGGCTGGATGGGGGTTAGGGAGCCCAAGAGTCCTGCTCAGAGAAGTGCACACCCCTTAAAGGGAGAAGCCAATCAATAAACCAAGGATTAAAAGAACAACAGTGTCTAAGTGACAATTCAGTACTACACCAACATGGACAAGGCAGAAAATGGTTTGTTGCCAAATACATTTGCCAGGAACCCTGAGCAATGGTTCAGGTACATACCTTTATTTTCCGTTTCAATTAGCGTTGGAGGGGGTGACTTGTACTATGACTTATTCTAAGAGAATGCATTCTAGCTGTCCTAATTTAGTGTGGTTCATGACCAGTTAACTAACTTCTCTGGCTTTGTTTCTTGTCTATAAAACAGGGCAGTGGAACTAGCGACATGGTCAGAGTCATCTTGATTCTTCTCAGTTCTGCTCCTTGGTCCTGCATGATGGTTTGGATTGCTTCCACAGTTTTAAGCACTACTCTAGTTGTCACCTCACAAAAGGAGTCTCAGTTTGTTAGTATTATGATTGTCCTGATAATATATCTGAAGATATGGGCAAGGGGATGAGTGGCTAACCACTGAGCACCAGGGACTGTCTTGAGGAACTTGGGTCTGATGGCTCCATGGAGAACAACACCTCTCTCCTGGATGGTTACACATGCTGGCCCGGCCTCAGTGGCCTTTGACAGCTCCTATAACCTGAGGACCTGGTGTCGTAGTACAGCTGCTATAACAAATCACAGAAAATGTGGTGGCATAAAAGAACATAAATTTATTCTAAGTCCAAGATCAGTATTAGTGAGCCAAACTCAAGACAACAGAACTGGAGGGCCCACAGGGTAGAAAGCCTGCTTCACCTCATCCGCCTGCACCCAGCATTCCTTGAGTGTCTTCAGTTACTTCTCTGCTCCATCTTCACACAAGCTTATCCTTTATGGGGCATGAAATAATTTCCCTCCACCTCCCTTTTGTAAGGATACATGTGGTTGCATTTATGGCCCACCCAGATAAGCCAGAAAACATTTTCCCATTATAAAACCCTTAACCCCATTGAGCAATGCCTCTCCTCCCTTTCAAATAAGGAAACTTTCACAAGTCTTAGGATGGGGAGGTATTAATGAGTCTAACATGGCATTCTGGATCTAACCTTCACTCTGCTTAGGGTTGCCGGTACTTTTGATCCATAGAACAGCAGGCCAAGGGGACAGCATCTGAGACAGAAAGGATTACCCTCTTCCTGGGAATGCCTCATATCCACTTTGACATTGTAGAGCAGTATACAGTGCCCAATGTCTCATGAAAACAGAGTCAGGACAATAGTCCTGTACACTAATGTGGTGGTGGTGGGGTGTCAGGTGCCCACCTGGCCTTGGCACCTGCTCGTGTCCCCACTTGACGCTCACTTTCTGTAGAACCCCAGCACTGACTTGGGAAGGCAGCTCAGAAAAGAATGAGCCTAGAATCGGGTTGGAATCTGGTCACTCAGCCTGTCTGGCAGCAGTAGCCAGCCAAGGGAGGAAGCTGGCCCCACCTAAGCCTGGTGCTCTCTGACAGTCAGTCACCTTTCAGTCTGTCTGTGGACTGTGCCAGACAAAGCCCTAAGGAGCTTGTGACACCGTCGGGTCTTCAGCCAGTTTTCACCCCATCCACAGGCAAAACCAAACCTACCAGATTTATAACCTCGTAATTTTAAGGGAACTGAGTTTTCATAGTGGGGCACAGGGTAGGGTCTGAGCTTTCCGAATAGTCCTTGGTATCACCCTCTGGCCAGTGCTACCAGGCATTAATTCTTCTTTAGTGAGAGGCAGGACCAGACTCAACCGATTTCATCTGGGGGAAAGCCATTTAATGGAATCTCTTGGTCATTTTTAGAAAATAGGATGCAATTATTAACATGGAGAGAAATCTGTAAGGATGATAGTACATTTTGCCAGCAAAATATTGCTTATGACATAATCTACTGAAAACAAACTTGCATGAGCAAGGTTTTGTGAACATTTTTTTTTGTTACTCTAAACTTATCACAGGGCTGGGGATGTTGCTCAGTGGCATAGCACCTGCCTAGCAAGCGCAAGGTTGTGAGTTCAATTCCCAGTACCAAACATAAAAAATAAAAATAAATGAACTTATCATATATTGGAGATCCAAATCATCTTTTCCCCACACCACTGGCTACTTCCAAGGCTCTGACTTCTCCAGTCTTTGCACATTTGCTAGGAAATGGGTAGATAGGCAGAGGGCAGCTTATGTGTCACAGGCTCAGGATGGAGATGCTCAAATACCCACTCAATCCAACCACCATGGCCAGTCTCTCTGGTCTTCTGTGGTCATTTGTGCCTGCTGTCCTTCACAGATTAGAATTTGCTAATCCAGGGTCATGCTCACAGAAATTCAGACTCACCAAATCTGAAGTATGCTTTGGAATTCAGACTTGGGAACCATAGCCACGACCAGGCTGCACCCCCAGCTCCACACTTACCAGCCTTTTCACTAAAGCTTTCTGAACCTGGCTCCCTTTTCACCCAAAAAGGTCACTCATACCTACTTCGTGGGAGCTGTGGTTACAGTCAGAAATCAGGTCCAGAAGGGGCCCATATGGAGGTTGATAGAGGCTGACATTTATCATCATGCTGTGTCCCTGGGAGACTCAGTGCTCTCTGTAGGGGTCACATGTAGAGTGCTGTGACTTGTGCCTAGATGTCCCCACAAAGCCTCATGCAGTCATAGGTGAGGGCTTTGCAGAGGTGGCTGGAGCTGGAGTGTGTGACACTGGCATCAAGGGTGTGTGATTCCTAAACGAGTCCACTGATTGGTTTGACACAGTTCTGGGTATGGGTGCTACTGGCCATGAGGACGGATAGACCAGATAGGCTGGAAAGGGACAGAAAGAAGCTGCTGTTGCCAGTTGTCTCTTGCTTGCTGTTGCTGTTTTGCCTGCTTTAAGCTGTTCCCTCCCCCCACAGCCCTTGGGCCATCCACCTTGGAGCCAGCTGAATACAGATGACACCCTCTATAAACTATGAGCGGAAATGAACCATTACGCCTTTAATTTTGGCTGTCAGGTATTTTATCCCAGAAATGAGAAAAGTAACTAAGACATAGGGTAACCTGGAGAAGATGGAAACCAGGTCAGCAGCATGTCTGGAGGGCAGAGTGACACAAAGAATTTGATTATTGGAGTACGCTTAGTAGCTTATTCCTTTCTGCTGGTGGGCACCACAGAGGAAGCATCATCAGTCTCTCTTCTGACTGCCATCATGTCTAAGTCAGAGTCTCCCAAGGAGCCCGAACAGCTACCAAAGCTCTTCATAGGACAGCTGAGCTTTGAAACAACTGATGAGAGTCTGAGGAGCCATTTTGAGCAGTGGGAAACACTCACAGACTGCGGTAATGAGAGACCTGAACACCAAGTGTTCCAGGAGCTTTGGGTTTGTCACTTATGTCACTGTGGAGGAGGTGGATGCAGCCATGAATGCAAGGCCACACAAAGTAGATGGAAGAGTTGTGGAACCAAAGAGAGCTGTCTCAAGAGAAGATTCCCAAAGACCAGGTGCCCACTTAGTGGTGAAGAAGATCTTTGTTGGTGGCATTAAAGAAGATACTGAAGAACATCACCTATGAGATTATTTTGAACAATATGGAAAAATAGAAGTGATTGAAATTATGACTGACCAAGTCAGTGGAAAAAAGAGAGGCTTTGCTTTTGTAACCTTTGATGACCATGATTCTGTGAATAAGACTGTCATTCAAAAATACCGTACTGTGAATGGCCACAACTGTGAAGTGAGGAAAGCCCTGTCCAAGCAGGAGATGGCTAGTGCTTCATCTAGCCAAAGAGGTCGAAGTGGTTCTGGAAACTTTGGTGGTGGTCATGGAGCAGGTTTTGGTGGCAATGACAGTTTTGGTCATGGAGCAAACTTCAGTGGTCGAGGTGGCTTTGGTGGCAGCCATGGTAGGGGTGGATATGGTGGCAGTGGAGATGGCTACAATGGATTTGGTAATGATGGAAGCAATTATGGAGGTGGTGGAAGCTATAACAAATCTGGCAATTACAACAGTCAGTCTTCAAATTTCGGACCCATGAAGGGAGGAAACTTTGGAGGCAGAGGCTCTGGGCCCTACGGTGGTGGAGGCCAATATTTTACAAATTATGAAATCAAGGTGGCTCTGGTGGCTCCAGCAGCAGCAGTAGCTATGGCAGTGGCAGAAGGTTTTAAACACTTCCAGGAAACAAAGCTTAGCAGGAGGGGAGAGCCAGAGAAGTGATAGGGAAGCTACAGGTTACAACAGATTTGTGAACTCAGCCAAGCACAGTGGTGGCAGGGCCCGGGTGCTACACAAAAGACATGTTTTAGACAATACTCATGTGTATGGGCAAAAAACTCGAGGACTGTATTTGTGACTAATTATATAACAGGTTATTTTAGTTTCTGTTCTGTGGAAAGTGTAAAGCATTCCAGCAAAGGGCTTTAATGTAGACCTTTTTTTGTACCCATGCTGTTGATTGCTAAATGTAATAGTCTGATCATGACGCTGAATAAATGTGTCTTTAAAAAAAAAAAGAATTTGATTCTTTCTACCACTAACTCATCCATGCCTCAAGGTTGAATATGAGGGAAACTACCAGCAGCCACTTTGAAGGCCTCTTTTACGTGCCATTCACATTCAGTATAATCATAATTTTGGAAGTTGATTCAAGTTTTCCTGTTTTTGAGATGTGGACCTGGTTTTCCAAGAAGTCAAGAAATGAACTTATGGTCATGTGGACAATAGTTATTTGAGCCCCAATTTGGACTAATGTGTATTTGATTCAAAAATCCATGCTTAATTTTTCTTTTAATGACAAGAGAATCAAGTAGAAGACAAGTCTTGAATGGCTCTGGGATTCCTGAATGTGGCTCTCAGTAAAGGATGGGGACATAGCTTAGTGGCATAAGCCCCTGCCTGGCAAGTGCGAGGACCTTAGTTCAATTCCTGATGCCAAAAAAAGTGGCGCAAGGTCTTGGGAGCTCTTACCAAGCCATTGTACTTTGAAGAGAGAGGGTGAAGATGGCATTGGCAGGTGTAGGCAGCCAGGGCAGGGGTGCCTGGTGGTCATACTGCTGTAGCTTCAGCCTGATTTTCTTCCAGAGGGAAAGCCTTCCTATGCAGCAAGGAGAGGCAGGGGGATTTTTCACAGCACTGAGATTTATCTTCTTCTCTCTTGCAGTGGTACCATGGATGTCTTGTCCCACTGGCGAACATACGTGGGCATGGGTGCACGTGTACGTGTGAATGTCTACAAATCAATACTTACCAGTTTTTCTTTACTTCCAAGTTCATGGAGGGTTGAGCCAAAATCCAGCTGCCAGCCTGATGGTTAAGTGCCCAGGGAACAGCATTGAAATCTCAGGTAAAGTCTGTTCTCAGCAGAAGCTACACAAAGCCAGGCAAGGATCCCTGTATTTTTCAGGTGAGACAATTTCCCGTGGAAATCCTGTAATGCTCTGGGGCACGGTCATCCTAACCGGATTTACCTGTTCGTTCACATTCTTGGTGAGACCAGGAAGCCTTATGTATGGGCCTGTGAAGACCTGAGCTGTGTCTGTCTCTTCTGCTTCATCCAATTGCTAAAGGGATTTAATCATTGAAGGAAAAGTAGCAACACAAGAACCACTCTTTCACCTTCTTCACTGGAATTTTTATTTGGATTGTTGACAACTACTCCGTGGCATGTGATTTTAAAGGTAGAGGCTCCTCTATCTTGAAGCTGAGTGAGACCCCTTGTCTTTCTCTTGTGTTGCATGCTTGTGGTTTAGCTCAGGCCTGACACGGAGGAGGTGCTCTGTGTGCGTCTCACATGTGAGGAATGAGTGAACAGACAAGTGAATGTTAATTCTTCTCACTCTGACAATCACGAAGGACGGAGTAATAAGGAGTCAGTAGTAATTCCTGGCGATACTGTCATAGGAAGTGAAGGGGGTTTGGCACAGCAGTCAAGTAATATCAGCAATGTTTGTGTTTTAATTGTGGCTTTTACTAATTTATGAATTTATGTAGCAGCACATTAAAAAAAAAAGTACACTGGTCCAGCTCTGCTCATCCTAGGTGTCAGAGACACCGGCAGGGGGAGCAGTGGCCAAGTGAAAGGCCATGGGGCTGGGTAGGTGGAGCGGCTTTGGAAATGATCTCTGCTGTGGAGGACACAGAAGTCAAATGGACTGTACATTCTAAGGCGAGTCTTGGTGATGGTTTCTCTCCCCTGGGCCCCTTACCCACAACCTTACCCGATTTAAGTGATATAACTGTTTTAGGCCAGTAAGGACCACTCCCTTGGTTCAGTTGCTAAATCTAAGGTCAGTTTCCTTGTCTATAGGAGGGGAGGCTATGGCAGTACTATTGGTTCATAGCAGGAGGAGGGGCCCCCACAGACAAAGCCTTGGCAGACGCCTAAGTTCACCCAAGGCTTCTTTGATGGTTCAGGTTCTGGCTGAAAGCTGGAGCCAGAAGGGCCTGTGTTCTAAGTGACAGGATGGGTTTCTGAGCAAACCATACAGGAAGCCATTCCAGTATATTTGGCAGCCAGCCCTGTCTCTCCTCAGCTAGTGAGCAGAAGGAAAGAACCAGAGAAGAGAGTGCCCAGCAGGCACACTGAGGGGAGTGAAAGCTCAGGTGAGGGGAGATCCTGCTGTACCTTCCTGCCTTGTCCTTCCCCAGCTTTGTCAAACTGCCGCTATGGTCATTCAGCAAAACCCAGGGCCTGTGGTGGGATGTGGGGAGATGGCCTTCGTCTCCTGCTGAGCTTCCCAAGGCTGAGGCTGAGGCTGAGCCTCCACACAGCCAGTCTGGAGAGATGTCCATGGAGTGTTCTGGGAGTCTAGAAGTACTCTTCTCTCTCAGGGCAAAAAGATGGGTCTCAACATGTGGTTCCTGAAGCTGGGGGTTTGTCTGCATGTGGGATCTAATTGCCCTCGGGATCTCTGAGAAGGGGAGGGGTGCAGCTGGAAGGTCACCGTCTGCAGACCCCAGCAGTCCAAGGCCAATGGGGGAGAGCAGAGGAAGGAGACCACACCTCAGCCCAGCACTCTCACGCCCAGAGGGGTCCCTAGCAGCTCCCATGGCTCCCTGCTCAGGGACTTCCCTGGGGGCTGCTGGGCCCAGGGATGAGGGTCCCATAAAAGAGGCTAGGATGAAGCCGAGCACTGCCCTGTTTATCCTCATACTTCACCTACTCAGAAATTACAGGAGCAGACATTATTGGGCTAGAGGAAATAATAGACATCTAATACTTCACAGGCCCCCTGTCACCTGTTTCTCTGCCCTGTGTCCACACCACAGGACAAGGGATAGCTCAGGAAGGGTTTATAAGATACTGCCACCCACTGCTAACTTGTGGCCTTCGTGGGGGCAGCGGGGTCCTTGCCACCAAACACACACACACACACACACACCTAGATCACTGTGCTAGTTACAAAGTCAAAAGATATAGGTGCGGCGATTGCTGAAGGCAAAAGCAAACAAACATCCCTCATTTGTACAGCAAGGTTTGTAAATTAACACTGTGCACTCTGTCATTAGCATAAGAAAAGCCAGCATGGGGATTTAGAGAGAAGTTTCTGGAACCAGACTTTAGGGTTGATTCTCAACCCTGCCACTCTCTATCCGCTTGGCAGAAGGGAGTGACAAGAAGTTACTCAACCTCTCTGTGCCTTGTTTTCTTCAAACTCTACACTAGGGCTAAGGACAGTGACTCCCCAAGGTCATCATGGTGATTACAATGATCAGGCAAGGGTCTTGGGACAGCACCCGGCACATGGCAAATGCTCCATAAATGCCAGCTTCTATGCTGTTCTTCAACCACGATCCCCTGCACTCCTGAGTACAACCCGAGGTAACAGCTAGCCCAGCAAGCTCCTGGAAACACATACCACGAGAAAGCAAGCAGCTCACGACTTCTCTGGGACTGCGGGAAATCAAAGGCCCTCCCAGGACAATAATGCACAGGCTAGTTCTACAGAAACCTAACAGGCGAACACTTCGTGGCCTGAGGTGGCTCGTGTGGAAACTGGGTTGGCACAACCCCGCAGACAGTGTATCTTGGCCTGGGTGACTCGCCTTCGCTGCTTGCTGTGATTATACAAGCCACATCGCTCCCTTTATCCCTTCGGTTCATTTGTATTAAGCAGATCCAGGCTTTTCCTCTTCTCATTGCCAGGGAACATACCCAGGCACAATGTCCTGTCATCTCCTAAAGTAACAATATGATAAATTTCAAGGCACAGTCATTCTTAATGAAAATGACACAAATATAGAGACCGTCTCAAATAGGGAAAACAAAAACATCAAGCCTTCATTCCTCAGCCATAGCTGTCAGATCCCATTGATCGCTCTGTTTCATTCCTGGCATCGGTTAAATATCACCAGGGTCAGCGGGGCTTGCCCGATGCACATGTTAATTTCTACACCATTCCCTAGAACACAGTATTTCAAGTTTACCAGCTGAGAAGGTTGAGGTCCAATCATGTATGCACACTTGCCTGCTTCGGCAGCTGGGGTCTTGGGAGATGAATACGTGAGAATTGATGGGTAGGTTACCCCCTTTTTGGGTTGGCTTTCTGAAAAAAAAAAAAAAAAAAGAGGGAAAAAAGAGATTTGTTTCTGGAGCTAGAGATTTTAGATGGCTCTGTATTGATAACTTGATTCACTCCTTCCAATTTATCTCTCCTGAGTTTGATAGGATTAGTCTCCCTCGCAATGAGTTGTTGATTGCAATAAGAAAGTCAAGTGGCACTTTGTTTTCCCATAGAGCCTGTGTTTTATTAATATTCGAGTGGAAGTGATAAAATCTGCCTGACTCTGAGTCCTTGAACATTAGCAGCCCTGCTTCACTCATGTGGCTTTGAATGTTTAATTGCTGCAGCTGAAAGCGAAACACACGCTCTGGTAGGAGACAGGGTTCTCAGGCTGGGCTGATTAAGTGAGCATAGCTACCTGTCACTTCCACAGCCCCTGCAGGATGTTTGAATTCCATAGCAGCATAGAAACCTGGAAGTGGGTCAAGAGACATCAGGGTGGAAAAGAACCATTTGTGGCTGGTCACTGCCCGGCAGGCCTCCAATCCCCGCCCTGGGGGGACTGAGGTACAAGGATTATGGCAAGTTCGAAGCCAGCTTGGGCTACACAGCTTCATCCTGTCTCAAAGAAAAGGAAGAGAAGAGAAAAGAAGAGAGCAAGAAAAAGAAAAAGGAAGTAGTCACTTGTTATCTACACTAAGACAGGTGTTAGATGCCGGCAAGGAGGGGGAATGGTAGAGTCTAGCAGGGAAACAGTGGCAACTCAGGAAAAAAAAAAAAAAAAAAAAAAAGAAATGAGGTGAGTGGAGCTAGATGAGCCAGAACATGGGCTGGCGTGACTGAAAATTGCTTGAGAGGCTGTTGCTACCTGTGAAGTTGTCTGACCAGAGGATACAACTTAAATTCCACCATCAGAGCCTCCTTCTCTAATGAAAGGGCAAGTGCCCGTGGTACACAACAAGACCCCCAGAACAAGCAATTTGTCTGGGTTGGGAGCCATCAAATTTCCAGGGTCTCAGAAAGCACCTGGCATGGCGTGCAGGGCTCAAGAAGTATTTATTCTCCAAAGAGCGAGCTTCAGACCCGGCCCAGGGTACACATTGCCCTGTTCTTGGCAGGCCTTCACTCACGGTCCAGTTTTTACATGGAGCGAGGGGACACTCTCTGAGGACAGGGCTGAGGAGGAGCTGGAGAGGATGTTGGTACAGGGTGCCGGGTGGGTGGACTCTCCACAGATCCTGTGGACACAGGGATTGCAGGGGTTGGCGCAAGGACTGGGACTGGGAGTATGGGGAGCTAGGTTCTGCTTTCTGGCTTACTTTTAATTAGCTACTGTAATCTCAAAGACATTTTTCTTCATTCAGAAAACACGAATAATGATAGGGCCTCTACTTACTACACAAAGTAATGGGAATTTGGTGAAAGAAAGGTACTTTGGAATTCTTCATGTCTATCATCAAAGGTGGGATCAAAGTAAGCATGAATATGTTAATCAAAAAATTGGTTACTGTAAAAGACACATTGCCGTTAAGCCCCTTCCAAATACTCCCGGACGCTTCAAGAGCACTTAGAACATTGTTCTTGTCATGTTTGGAATCAGGTGTGGAAGGCCTTGCTCGTGAGAGGCTCCACAAGGTGTGTCCACCAGTACGGTGAGCGCAGGGTGGGCGCGGGCGCGCGAAAGCATTCCCCAGTGCCCTCCCCTCCCCAGGTCGAGCGCTGTGTGACGCCTGGCTCTTCCCCAAAGTCAAAATGAGAGGCAGACATTGTCCTGTAGTAAGGACACGGAGGCAGCCACCCCAGCACAATTACAGACACAAAAGTGGACTTCCAGAATGGCTTCTGGGAGTGGCAAGAAAGACAGCAGCAGCGTGTTTGGAGCGAAGGTCAGTCAGTATTCAATGTAACAAAAAATTAAAAAAAGTCACTATACTTTTCGGGTATGCCTTATATATCCAAAAAGATACAAAATGTCATAGTGTATTCTGGTTTTATCTAAAAATGCTACTCGAAGACAAAAGGAGGGAAAAAATTTGACTTATTGGTGTTTGCTATTCCAGCTCTGGAAAATCATACAGGAGACAAAACTGGGCATTTCCAAGTCCTCAGGCAAGTGTAGGCCTACTCCGAGTAACAGGGTTGAGACCGTTTCGGCCCTGTGGGGCCCTGTGGCTGAGGGTCACACTCTACCAATAGAAATTGGGGAAGATGCCCATCTCTCTTTATTTCATATTTGGCTCACAACTAACACCCAATAGTTTTTTCTGTTCCTATTCAGAAGGAAAGCTCAGTTTTCTGCAGTGTGGATCACAGAGTGCAGCGGTGGGGGGGTGGTGTGAGGGGTCCCCGCCAGCTCTGCTCCCCTGTACTGCCCAGTGACCACGTGACCATAAAGGTCCATCTCTCTCCAGCCATTCCCAGTTCCCCAACACAGATTAACTGAAGGAGCACAGCGACCTGGAAAACTTAGAAATAAAAGCCTAGACAAAGGTCATGGAGGCAGTCTGGCCTTCAGAAGACGACCATAACATCATCCTGTTAAACTTGTTGGCCGCGAACCTGGTAATAATGGAGTCTTTCTGGGCTGCAGCCCGTTGCAGCGGTGTGATCTCTAACTCATCTATTTAGAAGGGCGCTCCCAGCCACAGCAGAAGCACAAATGTTTATTCTCCTTGGCAAAATGTATTTGCAGTCAAATGTCACAAGGTAGAATGAGCGGAGGTGGCAGTTGAGATTTATAGGATATAAACTCAGCAGATTGACTTTCATTTAAAAACCCAACACATATCCACTCTTTTTTTTTTTTTTTCATATCCACTCTTATGGAATTAATCTTTCTATTTAAAGCTTTAGTGAGATTCTTGGGTTGCATGTGGAGACTGTGAGGTTGAAATGCTCTTTGCTAGCCAGGAGTTGCTTGGTGAAGAGCTACGTGGGGATTACACGTCTAGCTCTGTGCAATCTAGGCACTTGCGTTTTCATGTAGCACCTGTTCTGGATTCTTCCTTACAAAGCAGAGACCTGCCGTCTGGTGGTGGGTGGCTGTCCATTATCTGATAAAAAAAAAAACAAATCTAAGTTGAACCTGAGGTGGACAGTATGTGGCTGGGCCAAGAAAACAGGGACTGCTGAATTGAAGAAGAATCCTCAAAGGTCTGTTTTTAGTTTTGTTACAACTCTGATGGATAGAGGACAGCAGAAGTTTGGAGCCTGATGCCAAACCATGCCAGAGAACTGCCCAGCTTGGAAGAGCCACTGTGTCATAAAGCATTTCTTGTTCGCTTTCTGTAGGTGCCTACATCTCAGCGAAGTCTTACAGCATCCGGTCTTGCCGAGACGTCAGGAAGTTTTGCCCTAATCTAGTTTAAAATTCCTTGGAAACTCCTCTGTTTCCTTAGAGAATATGGAAGTTCATAATCAAAGCAGTGGAAGTTCAAGGTGTACAAAGGACACAAACATCACTGTGGGCCTGTCAAAGTCTTATTTGAGGACCAACAAGGACAATAAGGACAGTGATGATAATGTAACATAGTTTTAAAAATGGGCCACTAGTCCATTGACCACATTTACAAAGTTATCAGTGGGAGAAAGAAAACTCATCTTACGTAAGACTACCAGCTACTAAAATGTGGAAGGAAGGCATAACTGGGAAAAATTAGAACTTTACAATTATAGCCAGTCCTCTGTTTTCATGGCTTCCGACTCTCTTCATCCAACTAACTAGATTGAAAATATTTGGATAAAATCATGTCTGTGCTGCAGATGCACATCGCTTTCCATCACTACACTGCAACAGCTGTGTGCCTAACATTGCCTTTGTGCTGGGCATTAGAAGTACTCTAGAGATGGAAGCATAGGAGAGGATGCATGAAAGTTTTAAGTAAATACTAAATCGCAGCATTCGAGACTTGAACATCCTGAAGACTTTGACATTCAGAAGGGTCTGCCCGGTCCCTCGTGATTCCAAGGGACTACTGTACTACTGTACTATTTGCCACTGCAAAGATGAGCAAAGGCTGCTAATGTGTTGAGTGACATTTACTGGGGAACAAGGTACACATTTGTTTTGAAGCATCATCCTACCGATTACTTATTGACACAAGTATTCTTAACCTTTGGAGGCATAGGAAAATATCCAGGTGACCAGATTTAGTATCAGCAACAATGAGACAAACTACTTTACGCCTCTTGCTATGGCCACTATGGTATAACACGTTGCGTGTGCTATGATGCCACCTATCCTTTTCAAAATATTTGATCTGAATTTAATCAGAAGGGTACAGATTGGCATGTTTTTGGTTCAGATTATAAGAAATAGCACTAGACAAATGTCGTGGTCATCATAGATGTCAGTACCATTTGTAATCAAAAGAAGCAGTGTAGGTCATACTTTATCCTGGTCTTAACCATCAAGCAGAAAAGTATGAAAATGAAGTATAAAAAGTAAAGCCACATTAATAGGTTGAGCTGTAAAAAGCTCAAGTCAGCAACTTTGGACAGTGCCAGTCTTATGGAAAACCCACTACTATTATGGACTACTGGACTCTATTGGGAGATTCTGCTGAATTCAAGCACTACAATATTTAAATGACAATGGAATGCCCTTCTCTGACAAAACTAACCAAAAAAGTGGGTTAGAAATGAACAACCCTTTATACTGAAAATAGTTGGGATAGATACACAGCTCCACTCTCTTAATTCAATGAATAGAGAGGTTTGTTAAAATAGTGTTCAAGACAGGATATCATGTTGCATCTTGTACAATGAATAACCACTAAGACAATAATATGCAATGTATTAATTACTGTAAATGTGCCAGTAATCAGTTTTGAAACTGTCTCATTGATATTTGTTTCTCAATAAAATTATTATTTTTTTCAATTTTTTAAAAGTTTATTTATTTAGTGTGTGTGTGTGTGTGTGTGTGTGTGTGTGTGTGTGTGGCCAGCTCAGCCCACCAGGGGGTGGGGCTGGCTGGCATGTGGTGCTGGGGGATTGAACCGCGGTCCCTGTGCTTTGCTAAGCTTATTCTAAGTAGGTGCTTTAGACCACTGAGCCATCTCACCAGCCCCTGTTTCTCAATAAAATTATTTTAAAAATAGTGTAGTGGGGGAGTTAAAGAAGACTAAACAGATATGATAACTAAAATGCAATTTATAATCTTTTATCAGATTATAATCAAACAAAAATTAAAAGAAATTATTATAAAGAATGTTTTGGAGATGAGTACAATTTTTTTCCTGCCACTGGGAGGTTGAATTTAGGGGCACTGTATTACTAAGCTACATCCACAATCATTTTTCCTTAAAATGTTTTTTATTTGTTTTTTGAGACAGGGTCTCATTATGTAACTCAAGCTGACCTTAAATTCACTATGTAGCCCAGGCTGGCCTTCAGCTTGAAGCAACCCTCCTGCCTCAGCCTCTCCAGAGCTGGGATTATAAGCATGCTCCACCATGCCTGATCTCAGTGTGCCCAGGGGCAGGGCTGGCGCAGCATGTGGTACTAGGGATCAAACCCCATCCTTGCGCTTGCCTAAGCCGGTGCTTAGTCTGCTGAGCTATCTTGCTGGCCCTGGACTGTTCTTTAATTTTTCAATAATATAAAAATTTCAAAATAGATTGGGCTGGGGAAATTCACCAAAGCAGAAACAAGTGGGAAGGAAAGTGGGTAGTAATGGTATGAAAATACCTGGTTATCTTTTAAGCATGAAAATATGCTATGGTGGTCTTAGGTCATGAAAAGGGGAAAGGATGTGAGGCAGCAAAGACTGAAAATGATTATCTACAAAAAAATGTCATCAAGCTAGCCAGAGAGAACTGAGAAAACATCAAAGCAACTAAAAATTTAAAATAGCTAAAAAAAAAAAAAACAACCTGTGGCTCAGTTCTCTAAGGATTTGTACCAGCTATTAATTTGTCACAAATCACAGAGGATGCATTTCTAGACTTGGGACATATTTGGTCCAGCTAAAGGACCAGTTAAAAACTCCAGTTATTAAAGTTAATTATTTTCATTGAAAGTTTGATATGACTTAGAGGTAGGTACAAGTGTCTTTGAAATGAATAGTTGGAGCTTTTTAATATTTCACTTTGTAGTGATTTACCATGTAGTTACATTCATTGTTTCATGATCCTAATTATCAGAAGAATTAATGCTTCATGTATTTATGAAGATATAAATAAAAACTAACAGTACCCCTCCCCCTAAAGAAACCCCACTTTTCATCCTGAGATGCCCCCCAGGCGCCTGCCAATGTGGCCATACCTGAGACGATGAAGGATTCTCTCCATCGTGGTAGAGACAGTGACTGGACGCCATTGGAGTAGCTCCCTTTGTAACCAGACTGTCCCGCCACTTTCTGAACAAGTATTTTCCCTCCTGAATTATCGAGCACACCACTATGAAAAAGAAAAAGGGTTTTAAAGAAAGGACAGAGATACTACTTAAGGCCAACAGGTGATCAAACCATCCTCTACTTTTATTTAAACATACGAGTGTGCTGAGGAAAAAGATTACCCCCAAAAATGGTTCCTCTGGCTCTCCGCCTGACCTCTGACCTCCCCCGTCAGACATCCTCTTCCTTCCTCCAAGAACTGCTTGTTTAATTAGTCAGGAATCTTGCTTTGTCACTGCGCCTTAGACTTCCACGTCCCTGGCTTTCGCCTCCCCAGCTCCCTATGTTGCCCCAGCTGGCCCTGGACGCCTGATCTCAAGTGAGCCTCCTGTCTGTTCCCTGAGCAGCTGGTACTGCAAGTGTGTGCCATCGCTCCTCGCTTCCCACTTGTTTTTTCTCTCTCTCTTCCTCTTCCTCTTCCTTCCCTCTCCCTCCCTCTCCTCTTCTTTTTCTCCTTCTTCCCTTTTTAAATAATTATTAGTGTGAATGGATCATACAAAGGCAAAGGTTCATTGTGACGTTTCCATGTGTACATACACTGTGCTTTTATCATATCTGTCTTCCTTACTCTCCTTCCTCGCCCTCCACCCCTGTGTAGTCCTACCCATTCCCTATCAGTCCCTCTCCCACTTTTGTGTCATCTTTTTTCTCTCTAGAGTCCACACATAAAAGAAAACATATGACACATGTCTTTCTGAGTCTGGCTTATTTTGCTTAACATGAGGGTCTCTAGTTCCATCTTTTTTTCTACAAATCACAAATGACACAATCTATGCATTACTTTCTTTATCCGTTAATCTGTTGTTGGGCATCTAGGCCGACTCTCAAAAGGCTAAAACCAGAACTACCATAAGGCCCAGGGCTACCACTCCTGGGTATATATATACTCAAGGGAATGTAAGTCAGCACCCAATAGAGGTACCTGTATACTGCTTATTGGGGTGCTATTCACAGTAGCCAAGGTGTGGAATCTGCCCACTGGTTCCATTAAGAAATATTTTTCCCCTGACAATTTTCAACTTGGTTTTATGACATTGCAGAACAAATCCAGTTGGTTAAAAGGGTTGTATGGAATTATTCAAATTATTTATTTTATTTTAGGCCAGTGATGAGAGATGATGAGAGAGACAGAGACAGAGACAGAGACAGAGACAGAGGCAGAGAGAGAGAGAGAGAGAGAGAGAGAGAGAGAGAGAGAGAGAGAGATTCCCAAAGACTGGCAATGATTTCTTTAATCACTAGGATTCTGTCAGGCAAAGTCCTAATGTAAAAGTGATGGACGTGTCATACTTTTTCTTCTGTTAGGCAGGGGGTCCTTTCTGGTTCCTAAATAGCACTTTTCCTCTGTCATTTCCTTGTCCCAGAGTCTCACATGGCTCTTTTGGTATCTGTAATTTATGGGGTGGGGAATAAAAATGAACGTGGATCTGTTCCCATCAGCACCCCTGCTTCCCTCCAGGAACGAGAGCCGCCATTTCCTGCCTTCCCAACTTTGTGATGACTTAACAGTTTTCACCACTCAGCTTTCCAATGGCCCAGAAGGAAAGAAAGTGATAGTAATACCTGACACACAAAGCACTTGACTGCTTTAAAATCATCTCATATGTGGCATTTCTCTGGGCTCTCCCAGAAAACCTCCGAGGCCTGGTGTGGAGGGAATGTCGTTACTTCCATTCTGTAGAAACAGGCCCTTCCTGGGAGTGGTTCATTCAGGATTTTGCACCCAGTGAACTGCCGGAGAGATCGGAACCCAGATCTAGGTGACCTCCCACCTGGGGCTTGTTTGCTTCGTCGTGGTGACCTCTGAGGACCCAAGGGCACGGAGCTCCCAGCTGCCTCCTCCCTCCCTGAGTCTCTGCCACGCTCTCTCCACCATCAGTGACCCTCTTCTCCAGCTGTGGTGAAGCTTTTGTGGCACACCTGTTCCCAACACCTCCTCTCTTTAGGGAAGATGCTGGCCCTACTGTACCAGCCCCTTAGATTCTTGTTCTCACACTGTGGACTCTGGCTTTGTCACACCCTGTACTACTTTCTAAACATATTTTGAATTAATTTTGTCTCTCACCTAAAGCAGAAATTTGCGTATTTCAAGGACAGTGTCCCAGGCCTGCATGGAAAAAGTCCCACCGGTGCTGCTTGGTTGGCACTGAGACCCACCTTTCAGGGTCTGATTGCTAAGCTTTCTGGATTTTCAGAGCTGGCTGCCTTGACTTGGTAGCTTGAAATCAGCCAAGGTGAGACTATTTATATGTGGAAATTGGCAAATCAGGCCACCCCTTTTGGAGAGCTGATTTTTAAGCATTTACCAGTACATTGCTGACTTAGGCTGAAAATTCTAATTAGTAAAAAAAATGACACCATGCTTTCTTTACTTATAATTAATGAGACAAATGATATAACAGTTATATTTTGCTTTTTCTCCAGAGAAATTATTCTGCCCTTGAGCTTACACCGCATTGCCCCATGTACTGCTCGTTGAGGAGCTGTATGCTCACATCCCTGCTCGGGTGTAGGAGTCAGAAGTCCCATGCTGCTGTCCCCATGAGGGTTACACAGGACTGGAGACCCAGACTTCGGGGTGCTGCACACAGGAGGTATTGCTTTCTTATGGGACTTTCTTCTTGGGGTAGCAAAGGAAGCCTCGTCTTGCGGGTGGACTGAGAACGCCAGTATTTCGCAGCAGGGAGACTTACTAGTGTAGCAGATGCCCAATTATTGTTTGGGTAAGATCTATACCCCCTCAAATCCTTACTTAGTAACTGAGTAGTGCTGGGCCTCCACAATTTTTTTAAAAAAATTATTATTTTTTTATTTATTTGGTACAGGTTATCATTACCCAGCTCAGACTCATAGTGTTCCTCTTGTCTCAGCCTCCTAAGATTTGGGATTACAGGTGTATGCCCAGTTTTGGTGGCCAGCCCAGCTCCCCGTGGGTTCCAGGGCCAGCAGGGCATGTGGTACTGGGGAATCAAACCTGGGTCCTTGCACTTGTCAGACAGGTACTTAGACTACTGAGATATCTCCCCAGTCCCCAATTTTGTATGAATGTATCACTTGGCATCTGGGCTGGAAGTCAGGGGACACAAGTTTTAATCTTCAATGTGCAACTAATTAGCAGTTTAATTATTTATCTTCCCTATGCCCAAATTCCTCCTCTGCAAGTGAAGATGCTCATGACAGCCTTACTGGATTGAGATAAGTCTAGGAGGGCATCATCGTATGAAGGATTATTGGTCAACAACCTTCCTGGTGAGGTCAGATTTACTATGGTGGCTCTATTCTGTCTAAGAACTGTAGGAGAGCAGGGGAGAGACAGAAAATGCCAGAAACAAGGAGTCAACCACCTAGGGACACAACTGGAAAAGTACAGGCAGCCTTAAGCCTGGTGCAGCACCCGCAGCAGATGTCTTTGGAGCATCTGCACAGATATACACTGGAGGGGGCGTGCAGGCATGAACATGTGTGTAAAGATGTGTGTGTGTGAGAACAGGCACACACATACATCCACACGTGAGGTAGACCAGCACTAATGTATAAGCACATGGGTAGGGATAGGATGTGGAGGAAATAACCGTAGGCATACATGTGTGTTCGGGGCATGTGTGTGTACATGTGTGTACTTTTTTGCATGAAATTGATTTCAGGGGAAAACAAAACTATTTTTATTCTACAATTTTCAGTTATATAACTGTGCTTGGTGTTCTTTTCTTTTAAGGTCTACTACTTAGCCTGAAGAGAGCTTCCATTATTCTTCTCCTGTTGAAGAGCCAGGGAGTTCATCACTCCTCCAGAGCCATGAGGAAAAGGGAATCATGCCTAGCGCAAGCTACTAATAATTTTTTTTTTTTGGTCAGGCCAGCCAAATAGCTCAGCGGATTAAAGCGCCTGCAAGCAGGTGCTAGGGTGGGGGTTTTGATCCATAGGCCTGCTGTGCCAGGCCCTGCCCCCAGGGTGCGCTGAGATGGCAATTGAGATTGGGCATGGTGGCATGGTGTGTGCCTGTAATTCCAGCTCTTGGGAGGCTGTAAACAGGTAGATCACTGAGTCTGATCTACTAGTGAAATCCTGAACATCCTGTAGACCCTTCCCTAAACTTCCAAAAAAATTTTTGTTTTTTTTGGTACTAGGGATCGAACTCAGGACCTTGTGCTTGCCAGGCAGGCACTTGTGCCACTGAGCTAATTCCCCAGCCCTCTAGTAATAATTCTTAAACTTGACCTTATGTGTGTTTTTTCTAACTGTTCCTTCCAAATTTCAGAGTGTCTACTGACCAGCCACCTTGAGGAGGAATGGATTTTATACCATCTCCTCTTACTTTGCAGAGCTATGATGGGGCAACAGCTGTGGTTTGTGTCTACCTGTCCTCCCAAAGCTTCCTGCATTTTATATGGGGCTTTTCAGAGGGCGCTGAATCAAGAGGATGTGATTGATTCATGGATTAAGGGTGTGAGTGCTACACCTGTCCTCGGGCGGTAGCCTGCATGTAACAACCTAAGGGACAGAAAGAGGCTTCCCATTCGCTGTCCCTCCTCTCTTGATGCTGTTGGTATCTTCTGCCACCGTGAACACTGCCCTTCTGCCATGTGCCACCCTGCTTTAGAGACAGCTTACTATAGACTGAAACTTCTACAAACTGTGAGCTAAATAAACCTTTCCTCCTTTAACCTTGGGTGCCGGGTATTTTGTCTCAGTAATGACAGAAAAGTAACTAGCATAGCAACTAACAGGCTTTCCTTCCAACAGAGAAAATTGGCACCAGAAGCCTAAAAAGTTCAGAGACTTCCCTCATCACCGAGGAGCTGAGCCCCGACTTGAGAGCCCCACCAGAGCTGTGTTGGCAGCGGTCAGGAGTACGGGCTCTGCAGTTAGCACGAACTTAGGTATAGTCCCCACCCTGCTACTTTCTAATTGTGTGGCTTTAGGGAAAGCTTTGCCTAATGTGGCCTAACTTTGCTTTTCAGTCCCACGCAGGAGCAGCAGACACAACATAGGGGGCCTGATGTAAAGACTCAGCACAAGGTGGGTGAAGTGTTGGTCACACGCCCTTAGCCTTATCATCAAAAATATCAACTTACGCGTTTCCTTGTCTTTGGACCCCAAACAAACACAACATCTGAGAATTCTGTGAAGGTCACCCGTGCCTCTCCTCACTTGGGCAGAGACTTAGTCCGAAGGGAAACATTCCTCCTGCCCACCCTCCTGGATCTCAGACCAGCGGCCGGGTGAGCGGTGCCCCCTGTGGCCCTCCTCCTCACATTTTCTTATCCCATCTACCTTCAGGCCATCACCACCACTTTGATGTCTTTCTCCAAATTTCTGGATAGTTCCCGACGACTCGCTCATCATTTCCATGCTGAGCCCGTGGGGGAGGGGTGGCGGGAGATGCTTTGTAACATCAAGAACTCTGATTTCCTCGTCAGGGCTATGAAGAATAGCATTCTTTCCTTTCCCACCGCGGTGTATGAAGCTGTCCTTTCTAAGAGTGCCATGGAAAGAGATGTAGGGCCACGTGCGATCTCTGGTTATTGCTTCCCGGCAAGGCTGCGGGATATGACGCAGGACTCAGTGTGGTGTGTACGTGTTCCACTACATACAGCAACGGTGCAGCAGGTGCTCCGCCCCTCTGTGCTAATTATTAAGGAGCTCAGCACCACCCACCTGTGCACTGCAGCACCACAGACGCTGGAGTACGATGCGTAGATGCCGGTGCCATAGACGTGGTACTTGGGATCCTGGCAGCCTGCTGGACATTTCGCGATGAACTCAAGATTGATGATCTTTCCAGCTTTGACATCACAGTTGATCTGAGGCACAGCTGGGAATACGAGGTGAAGTCAAAATTACCCTTGGGGAGACCCGTCAGGTTAGGCATATTCATTTACTTAATCTCTAAAAGTCAGAACCTGAGTTAAGCCTGCATCCCTTCCTGGTGTGAAAGCAAAGCCGTAATAGGACATTCCTTAGACCCAAAGAACAAGGGGCACCCACAGCACTTAACCTGCAGAAATTGAAAACAAAAAGCTGATTCTGTGCTTATTTGGATGATGAATTAAGGAAGAGAACTCTGGGAAAAGATCTACCTGCAGTGACCTGGAACAATCTTGAGGTAACAGCAGGAGGTTACTGTTTTTTCAGATGCTCTGTTCCTAACCCGGGAAGAGAAAACTCTCAGACAAGTTTATAGGAGGGAAATCTGTGGTAGAAAGATCAAGAAATGGAGGTGCAGATCTTGGAGTCAGAGGTGATTGGGAAAAAGTGACCTGCTGGCCAAAAGCACCGGGCCCGAGCCTGTGGGAGGGCAGCGTGATGCCAGGCTGAGCCTGGTTCAGGCGGCTGGAGCGCTTGTGCTTTGTGCAGGAGGTGGGGACGATGGGAGGTTTTTGGATGGGGAAATTTAATGAATGTGACGGGTGTCCTGGTCCTACAGGATCCTCTAGGCCAGCGATGGTGAACCTTTTAGAGCTTTCAAAGATAACAGACAACTGGCTGCAGCACTTGGGCCATAGCTTTGCTGCCTCTGCTCTAGCCCCGGGCACTGTCAGAGCTGTACTTGGTAGAAGGCCACGAACTCCCCTGCCAAGCATCCGGGAAGTTTGTCAACTCTTTTCTCCCTCCTCTCTTTCTTTCTTGCTTTCTTACTGCCCGTGTAGGTTATTTCTACCCAATAGGCAGGTTTTCTGGAGCTGACAGTTTGCTTGGGGTTAAGGTAGAGTATATGCTATATGACAGCACTTATGAAAGGGTGGGCAGGGCACAACTTCTTTGCAAATATTTTCCCTCAAAAACTCCTGAAGGAGAAGGTTCCCTAGATGACAGTCCTGGGACCTTGCAGCTGGGAATGTGCTCAGCTCTGAGCCCCCCTCTCCAGAAGGGACTCAGAGCTGTGAGCAGAGTCCAGAGCAGCAGCTCAGGGAGGGAATGGGAACCACGAAATGGGAGTAGTGGTCAGCAGAAATGGCTGATTTAGCCATAGGAGAGCTACAAGTTGCAGGTGAGGGTCAGTTGTCTTCATATGTAGGGCTGCCGTGTGCCAAAGGGCTGAACTAGAACCTAAAAGGTAAGTTTCCCAAGGAGACAAATTCTGCCAAGAACTTTCTAGGAATTGACATCCTTGGAGGAATGAGCTGCCTCATGGAGCCGTGAATGGGCTGTCAGTGGAAGTGTGCAAGAATAGCTGAAGAGAGGGTCTCTACTCAGGGTGGGAGGTAGAAAATAAAACCCTTCCTAGGGCTAAGAATCTCTGATTACACACACAAATCCAGGAGCTCTGCCAGGCCACCCACTCTCTGAGTTACCAAGATGGTTTCAGAGTTGTTAATGGTTTCCAGCTGTAGTCAAACACACACGCGCCCGCGCACATACGCACACACGTACACAGGCACGCACACCCTCTCTCTTTAACCCTTGTATATCTGAATGGACAGAGTTACATTTTATTCTGGTTGGAGAGGGAACAGAAGTTAGAATTGTTCCTTTCTAACACATCTCTCCCATACAAGCTCTACCACTGGGGCAAGGCCACTGTGCTTCTACTCCTGAGGCGGAGCTGGACCACAGGCTCCAACAACCTGAGGTCAAGTAGAACACTGTGCTTGGAGTTGGTTCGTTCTCTTTACCAAGGATTGCCTCCTCACCCAAGTTATTTTGAATCTCAAAGTATACTTTTAAAGGCAATGTTTGACTTTTCTCAAATTTCTGTTCTGACCTCAAATTAGCTAATTGTTTGATCCCCGGATGTAACTGAGTATGCTCAGTTCTCCTTTCTTCCTTAAATCACTTGCCCGTTTCCAAAGACATCTCCTCCCTTAGATGCAAAGAAGATAAAACACTTCTCTTTGGTTCTCAGTACTTGGAAACAAGAAGTGATAAGCACTCTCTGAACTGGGGTTAATTTTTGGTAAGACTTCAGCACTCTGAGATTTTGGATCTCCTGGCAGACCAACCAAATCTTTTGGTAGAGTCAAGGAGGCTAAATCTAGAAGTTTATTACATGTGCGTTACATAGTGACCAAACCTGCTGCAACACTTCAGGTACATATAGTATGTGCAGGAGGATTTTCTGTGAAATAGTTGATTGAAAAGAAACGGAAAATGACCCATGGAGATAGTTTCCATTCTTCTAATCAATGTTTTCCTTTCTCTTTGAGGGGGGATTTGGATTTTGTTTTCTTCCTTGTCTTGTTGATGTTATTGTTGTTTCAAGGCCAAGGAAATACTTTCAGTAACATCTGCTTTATCTCCACCCAACTGGATTAGCAAAATTGGTGGATTAGCTCATTAATTTGTCCCACAGGGTGAAACAAATGAAATCAAACACATATGCTCATGAACTTTGGAAAAGCAACAAGCAACAACCAAGTGTGGGTAAAAGTCAAATATTTGTTAAATTTCTACAGAAAATTGAGCCGGAGAGAGTGAACTGATTAAATTTAGCAGAGTAATTGCCAAAAGCACTGGAAAGCTTAGCTGTGTCCAGCCTGGAAAAAGTAGCCATTTGTATCTTTCTGGCAGCTTTCCTTTAAGTGCTATATATGAAAAGCACTGGGCTTCTTTTTCCCTTACTTGTGAGGTAGTTTGTAACCATTAAAGAATCCTGGAACACTATTCAGGCACAGATGAAATGACTTATTTTTAAATTTCCTCTGAATGTTTTTGAGCTACTCAATGTTTACAGACTAGGTTTTCCTTCTTAGCTTCCTTTTGTTGTTTAGGTTCTTTTTCTTATTTTCCTTCCCCCTTCTCTAGATCTTATCCACCAAATAGAGAAAGCCAACATCTTTAAGAAGACGAGTTGGGCCAGCCAAATAGCTCAGCAGATTAAAGTGCCTACAAGCAGGTGAAGGGGTCTGGGGTTCCATCCCAGGGCCTGCTGTGCTGGCGCCGCCCCCAGGGTGCGCTGAGATGGCAATTGCGACTGGGCGTGGTAGCATGCACCTGTAATCCCAGCTCTTGGGAGCCTGTAAAAAGGCAGATCACTACGAGTCTGACCTACTAGTGAGACACTGAACACCCTGTAGACCCTTCCCTAAAATACAAAGAGGACAAGTAGAAGGTATGGCTGCTCAAAAAGCATCTCTTCCAGGCATGACGCTTGGCAAATGCCCAGCAGCATTCAGACAGAAAGTCATGTCTCCACTGTTCAACTCAGGTAAGGATATATATATATATATATATATAGAGAGAGAGAGAGAGAGAGAAAAGTTCTAGAAAAGTTTAATCCTCCCAAAACACTAGAAGAAAGAAAGACAAAAATCTCTACTGTTCCTCCCTGTGTGGACCTTCCTGCGTGGACACCGGCTGGTGGCAGTGTGGAAGTTCCTGAGTTAATGGCTCCGAGGACCCGCATCGGTGGAACCTTTGCAGAACTCTGCACTTGGCTTCCCTCCAGCTGGATCCCCACAGTTACCTCACCTGTCACTTTTGAGTCACACTCACACCACAGTGCCTCAGTGTCTGCCAAGGGCTCCTCCCCAAGGCCTTGGGAATCAGTCACAGGGAGACAAGAACAACCACTTGCGAACCAGATGGTTAGACCTGTGGGATTTCCTTAGATGTTGGCCTCTGAACGCATGTGTCAGCTGTATTGATCTCACAGTGTTCTTGGGCAAAAGGTCTCAGCTCAGAACAGAAAACTGATATTGGCTAAGCCACTATTTTAATGCACAATTAGAATCTCAAGGGCAAAACTACAAATGTTTCTGCTGTGGGTTGGGTTTCCTGCCTAGGACAGTAAAAGTGATTATTGGGTGATGTCATATTCAACAAGCCAGATGTGTAGCAGGCCAAATCAAACTATATACTTCCTATTCTTATTCTGCCATGAATAGTTGCAGTGATCTTAGGCAAGCTACACTGCTTCTGGGAACATTTTTTCTTCATTAATTAGAGGAGGCTCTTGTAAGCTTGCCTGGTGGTTATTAATGAGAAAGAATTATTTTATCATGAAGGCATGAAAAGTTTTGATATTAAACTTGATTTATTGCACTGTGATATTCAACTAGTGTAAAATCCTATGTTAAGGGAATTACGCAAAATTTGTTAATTTAGTTGAATAAAAATGACTGTTTGAACATGAATATATCGTTCTTACTGACTGTGACCCTCAGGGAATAGTTCACATCAACTCTTCCTTTGTAATGCTTTTTTTTTTTTTTTTTTCTGTATTTAGCACAGGTCTACAGGGTCTCACTACTCAGATCGGACTCGTAGTGATTCTCCCATTTTCAGCCTCTCAAGCGCTGGGATTACAGGTGCATGCCACCACACCCAGTCTCAGTCACTGTCTCAGCATGCCCATAGGACAGGGCTGGCGTGGCAGACAAGGGACTGAACTCTGGTTCCTATGTCTGCCTAAGCAGGCGCTTCAATCCGCTGAGATATCTGGCCGGCCCTGTAATGACTTTTTATTTAACAAAGCATTTCTTCAATTTTTAAAAAACTCTCTTTGATCATGTTTTTTTTTTTCCTCAAAAACTATCAATAGCTTATTGGTGCTTTTATGAAAAGTTCAAAAAATCCTTAAGAACTTTCCAGAGTCCCTGCTATAAAATTGGGCTTGTCCTACAGTCTTCACTACTTCCTAGATACAAAAGGCCTTGAAATTTGGCTTGAGTCTCTGCTCATGCCTGAAACTCTTTTTCTCTCCAGTTGTTTAAATGCTACTAATTTTCCAAAGACCTAGTTCTAGTAACATCTTCATTCATCTAGCAGAATATAAATGACACAAGGGCAGAGATTTTTCTGTTTTGTTCATTGATGTTCAATAAAATGCTGAATGAATGAATGAATGAAACCAACCCACTAGAAATTCCTACC